TTTCCTATTACATAAGATATTTCATCAACTCCTAAAACTCAAAATTGAATTCATTTTCCCCTAAAACCTATCCTCTTCTCCTGTTTGTGTAGATGACATCACCATTCTTCCAGTCACTTAGGCTTCAAACCTCAGAGTCGTCTTTGAGGTAGATGTATAATCTACACATTCTACTCTCTCTCACATTCAATAAGTTGCCAAGGAAGTCCTTCAGTTTTACCTTGATATTGTCTCTTACATCCCTTCCTTCTCTTCTGCACCCGCTGCTACCTGCTGCTACCTTTTTTAGTCCCTTATTCAACTCTCACCTAAGAAGACCAATCTGATCTCCCTCCTTCTAGTCTCTCCCCTCTTTGATCTCCATTTTGTACCACTGCCAAAGTAATTCTCTGAATGCTCAAGTCTAATCATGCCACTCCCCTGCTCAAAAGCCTTTAGGGGCTACCCATAATATAAAGCATAAAATACAGTGTCTTTATTTTCAAGGCCTTCCATGGCCTGGCTTCAACTTGATTTCTAGCTAATTAATTAATATTAATGATAATAGCTGACATTTATATAGTACTTTAAAGTTTTCAAAGAACTTTGTATGTATCAGCACAGTTGGTCCTCATAGCAGCCGTGTAAAACAGGTGCTATTATTGTCCCCATTTTACAGATGCAGAAACTGAGGCACAGAAAGCTTAAATAACTTTCACAAACTCTACACTCCAGACAAACCGGACTAATAGTCATTCGCTGCCCTACCTATGTGGATTTATGTGTATCATCTCCCACTCCTGGATGTGACTCCAGGAGTCTCCATGTCTCTGACTCTGGAAAACTTTTGATTACTTCAGCGTCTAGCCCTTGGTGCCCCTTATTCTACGAGGACTTCCCTGATGTTCACAACTCAAGAATCTCTATCCCTCCCCAGTCTGTCATGCATCTGTTCCTGGGCACTTTTGTTATTATAACAACCTGTATTTGATTTATTTGTGGTCTCATCCCCTTAATAAATTCTAAGCTTTTTAAGGACAAGTAGGACTGTACCTATTTTTACCTTTATATACATGGTTTCTAGCACAATGTAGTTCTTAGCACATAGTAGGTACTTCATAAAATGTAATATTGAGTATGTCATAATGGATAGCGTATTGGGCTCAGAGTCAGGAAGAGCTGAGTTCTAATCTTTCCTCTGACCTTATTGGTTTTGTAGCCCTGGGCAAGTCACTTTTAGGCTCTCTGTCTCTCTCTTTCTGCATAGGTAAAAGGTGGATAATAATAGCACCTGTTTCATAAGATTCTGTGAGGATCTAATGAAATAATACTTTCCAAGCCTTAAAGTTCTATATAGATGAAAACAATTATTATTAAATTAAATTGCATCTTGGACAGGCCTATGAATGGATAATGAGCTAGATCCAGAACTGAGGTCCAGATTGAGCTAAATCTTATTTGGGAAACTGTAAAGTTTTTTAGATGATAGACTGTCATGGTACCTTGCTTCAAGAGCCCACTACTTCAACTGCAATATTATAGAAAGTATTAGTGAAACATGGAATCCAAAGATTTCAAAACATTGTAAACTCCACCCTCTAAGGACGAGGGAAAGATGGTTAAAGTGGATGTAAATATGCTGCAGTTGTGACCTGTATTCAGGGAGCAGGATGATGGGAAGCTACACTGGTACCTTGCATGTCCTGTGATTCAGGAAGAGCAAGAACCTACTCTTTGGATGATATATGTTAAAATATGGACATCGGGGTGATTAGGCATAAATCAATAACAACACATATTGGTGGACGGTGTGCTCATATTGCTAGAATCATAGATCACTCAAAACAGACATATAATTCAAACATTTTCAAATGAGAACAAATAGATTTTAATTTAACTATTAATACCAATTGAGCCATGAAAATAAACACTGCTTTATGAAACTTGGGCCTAAAAGAAATCAGAGTAGAGCAAATAGAAACAAGGCCATGATTGTTTTTAAGTAATTTTGAGAGGTTTTTTAAATTCTTTTTTCTCTTGGCTTGCTTTTTATAAAGCTATCGGTTTTCAGGGAAACTGTGAAAGCTGGGAAACTTTTTGTTGCTAAAAGATAATTGTCTTCTCTTCAGCCAATATAGAAAATGTAGGCAGTATAGAACACATGTAGTTTTTGCAGTAATATTGATTTTTAAAGTTTTTGCAGGACTGTGTATTAATTTTGAACCCGAGGCAAATTTAGCCTATAATGAAAATTTAGTGGGAGTAGTTAAGGAATTTGATAATGAGCTGTCTGTGATTTTACTTGATCAGTTTCCAGTGGCAGGGGATACCACAGTTGGACTGGTTTGTTTTATTTTTCCTCCAGTCAGAGATCCTCAGACTCTACAATTGCAGGTTACAGTGATTTAAAATCTTTCCCTTTTGTCTCCATATTCACCTATAATGTACACCTGTTCTTAGATTTTAAAAAATTTCCAAATGGATTGAAAAAAATAATTTTGGTTATAAAATAAGAAGACCAAGACTGTAATTATTCACTACATATGTTTAATGCTCATATATTTTATTCCCATCAAAGGAAATGTACTATTATTTGGTAGCTATGTTTGCCCTGTCCTGGCAAAACTATGACCCCCTCATTTCTACTTGGGCCTTATTCCCTGTTTCATGGACTATTATATAATTGGAATTCAGGCCTCTACTGAATATATTTCAGTGTTTGAAATGAGCAGGTGGAAATTGTGCAAAGCAAATAGCCAATAGTAAAGTGAATCACTCCTTTATCATCTGGTTTATTTACCTTGGGGTTTTATTTGCTGTTTCTTGTTAGAATGGTTTACTACTTTGGGCGATGAACAAACGGTTTCTTTGTAGCTCAAGAGTGGCAGGTGTTGAAACAGCTTTTTGCTGAGACTTGGTCAAAAGTCATAGCTCACTTCACTGATCATTGGGCTGCCCTTTCAAAGAATGAGACTTCCCAGTAAAATATACTCAGATGTTGAGCGTATTCCATTCATGCCTCTTAACTGGGTGTTATTGCTCTGCCCAAAGTAGCTATTCCCAAATGCAATTACATCCTTTACACAGCGTTTTGGTAAAGTAGTTTCCTTAAATGGTGTTATCCTTAGACAAACGGAGACAACCAGTGAGTTCACAGCTATTATGACGCTAGAGAAATTACAAGGTTGTAAGAGTTACTAGGGAGAGCCATGTCTTTACCTCTTAATAAGACAATTTATACTTTTCTACTTCAGTGGTCCACTAATCTCTTTGATGTGGGTGAGTGAGATCATCTTCTAAGAGTTCGGAACACAACCAATCCACCTCTTCTTATCCTATGTAATTTTGGTCTGTGTCATCCTATAATCCTTCTCTGAAGGTCTACCCTACGTACTAGAGACTGTGCTGGGGACCATCCATTAAAGTGGTACTGTGGGCCTCACTGCTTAGAACACTGCCTGGCACAATGAAGGCGCTTAATAAATACTTGTTGGTTGGTTGACAGAGATGACTCTGAGTTCTCAAAGGCTGTGTAAGTGACAGACTGTCTGATATAGGAGGACCAACTGAGCTAGATGTGGAGATATTCATCACCAATAGGCTGGCCATCATAGATGATTTGTTCTTTTGGCAATGACAGCAACCCAGGGAACAATCAGAGAAATCAGGTTTTAAAAAAAAAATATTCTTTGGAGTACAGTACATTCTGCTATAATGCATATTTTGAAAATGTAAATTTGTTCCAGTGCTATTGATATAAGGGAACATTTTGAACATAACTCAAATTCCAAGTTTTCTTTTGCCCAATTTTATCTCTGAGAAACAGCAAGAATGCAGAAAAATGCACTAATTTACATTAGCTGCGCCCCTAATCCCAATGCCCACTTCCATAAACAAATTTCAGGTCTTTGTCAAGGTAAAGGAGCATTTTAATTGTCTTTGGTCCACACCATCCCCTCCTCCCCTTCAGCTCTTTCAGCCATAGCCTCTTCTAGAAGCTTCTTGTCATGGCCTCACTAGCTTACTCATACAATCTGCCCAAGGCCCCAAATGTGGCCACAATTATTGTTTTTGTTGCTGTTGTTCAGTCATTTTCATTGTATCTGATGCTTTGTGACCACATTTGGGATTTTCTTGACAAGGCTACTAAAGTGGTTTGCCATTTCCTTCTCAAGTTCATTTTACAGATGAGGAAACTGAGGCAAACACGGTTAAGTGATTTGCCTAGGGTTACACAGCTAGTGTCTAAGGCTGGATTAGAACTCAGGTCTTCCTGACTCCAAGCCAGGTGCTCTATGCACAATGCCATCTAGCTGCCCATTATTTATTTAAGTATTTGTATATTTCTTAACTATTTAACATGTGTAAAACTGTGCTGTCATTTTTATTAGGTTCCTATCTTTTTTTTCAATGTGTTACTGATAAAGTTTTTGAGCTTTGTGCCCCAATGCCATTTTCCCCATAAGCTCTGTGGTTTTTAATTACATGATTTTACATAGCATGCAGTGCTTTTGGGGAACTCATATGTTGAATTATTCCAGAGCTGTTTTGTACCTTATAAGATATACTTGTGAGTCTATGGCTAGTACTAACAGTGCCCAAATACTTGAAGCCCCAATATAGGTGACTTCCCTGCTCTTGACCATCTGGACAAGGAAAGGAAATGATCCCAAGAGGAGAGCCACAGATGGCTTCAGGAAGCTTACATCTTCCCCTGGGGATAAATGGGGTCACATGGTGGCGATTTATGGCCTGATCCTTCACTGTCCTCATAAACAACTTTCTTTGAGTTTCCAGAGTTGCCTCCAGGCTCAATGGAATTATCAGCCATCATCACTAATTAACCTTTGTATTAATTAATTCCTTATCTGCAAAATGGTACTAATAATAGCACCCCATACTGCAAGGTTATTGTGAGTTTAAAATAAAAGTACTTTGCAAACATTAAAGTGCTATGTAAGTGATAGCTATCATCATCACCATCATCATCATCATCATCACTATTAATATCTGGCACATACTTCTTGGCTTGACTTGATTTCCCTTTACGTGATACCATTCTGTCCTCAAAAAAGATTTGTCATTGGTGTGTAGATGCAAGCTGAAAGGACAGGAAGAAAAGAGGGAAAGCGCATCAAAATAGGGTCACCAAAGGCAAATTTCACCCATTTCACTATTTCTTCTATTATTGACTCTGAACCCAATACTATAAGTGCTTAGAATATTCTGCACTTGTGAAGACTGTATCAAAGAGTAGGCTTCTATTCTTTACCTTCCCTTTTCTTCAGAAAACCATACTTTGATTTTCACATGAATCTTTTTTTGTAAATGCTTCCAGTTTACAACTATGGGTGACAATGCCTTGTCACCTCACCACTGCTCTGCATTGCCGGGAGTGAACATGGACTGATCTTCCCTATAACTGAGTACTCTGCTGTTATTACCCAGGGCCATTTGGATAATAAGATCAGGTTTTAACTCATGAGAGTCATGACCTTCTCCTGTCCTGGGAGGCCTTTTAATCTTTAAATTCTAGGTGCCATTTGACTGGGAGTATTCAATCTTGTTTGGATTTTTTCTTTGTTGTCCATTAATGGCATTTATGATTGGGGGTGGGGTATGATTTCTGAGATAATCAAATGGTGATTTTCTTCTTACAGGTGCTGCCTGACAAACAGGTCAAGGAGAGAGCTGGTAAGTCTGTTCTGTGACATGTGCTTATACTTTTGTTTTAGGTAAGTTTGTACTTTACAGGAGCCATGCACAGTTTGCATGTCATTAAATCCTGAAAGTACATATTGATGAATTATTAATGGGAAGATGTTATGAATTCTTTTTCAATATGTCTGTGTTCCAAAGATCCATGATTTTGTTCACACTATGTCCTAATGACCCCTACTCACCTTTTTCTCCTCCTTTTCATTTTCTTTCCACTACCATGCTGGTGAACTGCCTAGCCCGAAGCATTAGTATATATGCTAATCTCTAACTCTGAGTTGCTTCATCTTAGCACAGGATGCTGAAGAGAGCAGGGCAGTGGATTTTGATCCACATTAAAGATAGTTGTTAGCTTCACACAGCAAAAAAAAAATTCTTTCATAACTTTAATCTCTACCTCTTAGCATGCTGATGTTTGACACTTTTCCTCTATGGAATAGATCAAATGTTGTGAATGGCTTCATGTAAAACTATTAATTACTACTAAAAAAAACTTAGAGCAGGGGTCCTACTAACAGTTATGTCTATGTTGTTGGTCAATCCTTTTTCAGTCATGTCCAATTCTTAGTGATCCCATCTGGGGTTTTCTTGGCAGAGATACTGCAATGGCCTGCCATTTCCTTCTCTACCTCATTTTACAGATAAGGAAACTGAGGTAAATAGAGTTAAGTGACTTGCCCAGGGTCACAAGCTAGTATGTATATGAAGCCAGATTTGAACTCAGGCATATAGATAAACACATTAAGTACAGGGCATAGGTACAGCACAGATGTTTATGTGAGTATGTATGAATATACAAAAGTTAGCATTTACAAGGAAAATGTATGATTTCATGATGTCATAGTACTTTGAGATAAATTTGAGTATGAATCATCTAGGAAAGTTTCACAATCAAAAAGTTAGAACTGGTAAAGCTTTATTTTTTTTCTAGGAGGGGGCACAGGGAGTGTATACATTTAATTCTAGTTTTTACATAATCTGGTAAAATGGATATAGCCTTAAAGCATGTAGTATATACCTTTAAATCTTAGTTTTTACAAAATATTGTGAAATACCCTTAAATCCTGGTTTTGACATGATCTTGCAAATGAATGTGAGAAAGGCCCAAAGGATCTGTGACTGCATCAGTACATACTGCTAACCATCTAGATAAGTGTGTCTTAAGGAATTACCTGAGGCAAGATTTCAATCTAGGTCTTCTTTATTCTACCCTTAGCAGCACTCATGCTCATGCTCATGTGAAGTGCAAGGAAAGCAAAAAGAAAACAACATAAACTGCTTTTTCCTGTCTTAACTGACCAGTGTTCAAAAAATAGTGACCAAACAATTGACGACCTTTATCCCTATTTTCTCTCAGATACTTAAAAAGGAGGGGAGGGGAAGCTAGGTGGCACAATAGATAGAGTGCTGGGCCTCGAGTCAGGAAGATTCATCTTCCTGATTTCAAATCTGGCCTCAGACACTTACTAGCTGGGTGACCCTGGGCAAGTCACTTAACCCTATTTGCCTCAGTTTCCTGAACTGTCCAATGAAATAGAGAAGGAAATGGCAAACCCCTGCAGCATCTTTGCCAAGAAAATTCCAACTGGGATCACAAAGAGTTGGACACAACTGAAAAATGATTCTTAAGGATATCTGCTGGTTGTATATTGACTTAGAAAACTACATCTATGTTCTATTGTATTTTATTTATTTTGTTCAGTATTTCCCAATTATATTTTAACCTGGTTCTAGCTCAACTAGAGAGTGTTGCCAGCAGCCCCAGGCCAAATATTTGACATCTCTGGTTTAGTCCTTTTGGATTCCAACATCAACATTTAATAGCTGCATCACTTTCTACTCCCAGAGCCTCTGTTTCTTCATCTGTAAAATGGATACAAGACCTCACTTGACCTATCTCTCAGGGTTATTGTGGGAAAAGTCCTTTCTAAAGCTTAACAATCTATATAAATGTGAGCTTCTATCAACTTATCCTTCCTTAAAGTTGAATGCATTCCTCTAAGTAGTAAATCATTCTATAATGAAAATGTTGGGTACTTCATTTCTCTTGTTGAAATATCTACCTGTATCTGAGTGTGTAAAGTGCATTTACCTTGACAAAAAACTAAATAAATTAAAATAATAAAACCATTCTTCATCTTAGAAGTGACTGAGGAATACACCTGAATCAGCAACATGTTGCTTTTAGAAAACTAATCATTTTAACTAGACAGTTGGCATATGAATGTGATTTCATCTCTCTTTTTTGGCTACATAAAAATTTGATTCATCTAAGCTCAGATACACACTCCTTTTTGGCATTTAAAGCACTTCACATACTACCTCCAGCCTTGTAAGATATTTCCAGCCTTATTACACGTGACTCACCTTCATAGACTCTACTGGCAATCAATCTTAATGTTCTCTTGTGACTTTCCTGAGGGAGGATTTGAATCCAGATCTCCCTGCCTTTGCATTGGCTGTACTCCATGCCTGGAATGCACTTCCTCCTTATCTATTATCTGTATCTATTAAAATCCCTAGTATCCTTCTAAGCTCAGATCAAGTTCTAACTTCTATTAGAACACTTTCCTGATTTTCTCCCAGGCTGCTAGTTCCCTCCCTACCAATTACATTGTGTGTGTGTGTGTGTGTGTGTGTGTGTGTGTGTGTGTACATATATATGTATATATACACACATATACATATGTGTATGCATTTCTTTCCCCTAATAGAACATAAGCTCCCTTAATAAAGAGACTGTCATTTTTGGTCTTTGTATCCCTAGTGCCTCATATGTAGTAGACGCTTGTTGATTTATTTTATGTTCACATAGTTCCCTCACTCAGGGCTTGCTAGCTTTGTGACCCTGGACAAGTCACTTAACCGTGTTTTCCTCAATCTCCTCATCTGTAAAATGAATTGGAGAAGGAAATGTCAAACCACTCCATTATCTTTGCCAAGAAAACCCCAAAGGCTCCAGTGCCTGGCAATAGTAAGTGCTTAATAAATGCTTATTTACTGACTTTTGGACTGACTATAGGGCTCAGGACTAAACCTGTGATTTTATGGACATAGTGAATTCCCTCTACCACTATAGGTCAGCACCTTCTCTGTAGTTTCCAGTCTCAGAGAATTGCCCGGAACACCGAAGTCAAATGACTTGCCCTGAGTTACAGAGCTAGTATGTGTCAGAGGCGAAACTGAAACCAAGCTTTCCTGGCTCAGAGATCAGTTCTCTACTGTGTCTTTTTCAATCCTTCATAATTTTAGTGCTTTCCTTCTGTTGATTATTCCCTTTTTATGCTGTATATAGTTTGTATGTACTTATCTGCAGGTTATCTTCCCCATTAGATTATGAGCCACTTGAAAGGAGGAATGTCTTTGATTTATCTCTATATCCTCAGCACTTAGCACAGTGCCTGGCACATAGTAGGTGCTTAATGTTTATGGACTGACTATGCTATAGTGCCCTAATGTTTGTCCCAACACAGGACAAAGTTTTGTTTTCTCATCTAACTTAAATTCAGAGAGAGAACCAGCTACAGTTTTCACCCTTGAAATAACAAATGGTTTTTTTTCTGTTGCAGTTTCATCTCTAAAAAGGTCAGCATTTGGTGACCCATCATATAATAGCTGGTTCTGATACTGTGTTTTTTGCATATTGGGAGGTAGAATGTGTGCCCACAACAGTCCCTGGTTTATAGCTGTTGAAATTCACACTGCCTTTTGGTGCTCTGTTTCCATCAGGGGAAATGAATAGGAAAGCAGGCAAGCAGAAAACTAGAAAGAGGCAAGTCCATTTCTATAGAAGTAATTAGAGAGAGCAACATGAGAGTAGGAAAGATCAGTGAAGGGTGGCAGACAGCAATTTTTCTGCACATGTGAATCTGATGAATGTAGTAGGCAGCTAACTCAAATTCCCATATAACTAAAAAAAAAAAAGACTTTGAGAATAACTCTAGTTCTCTTCTTTCCTGTCTTCCATGACATCCTTGGCTAATTTCAGTTTTGATGCTGATTCTTTTTTGCCGTTTTAAAAAGTGGGGACTGTCATAGTTTATGTCTGTTTGGATTCCTCCACAGGCCTTCCAGGCCCCTTGGCACACAGCTGCCTGGTGTCTTTTTGTGTGAAGGGAAATGCAATATTTCAGGCTGACTGAAGAGGCCACTGTTAGTACATATTGGCACACAGTACAGAGCGAAACAGGAAGAAGGAAGTGTCCTTGACGGGAGTTCAGTATTTGTAGTGGTGGTGGTGACCACAAAATGTACCTTTCTTATTTGCTAAACCTGTGCTAGATTGACCCATATTCTTGTTACTTCCCATAATACAACTAGGGGTTAAATAGAAAACCCAAATGTAATTCAGACGTCAACCCAGGGATGGGCTAGGGGAAGACATGAATTGATGCAGACATTTGTATTACTTCAAAATATACTCTAGTAAGAAGCACAGATTTAGAGCTCAAAGGGACCTTAGAGATCATCTGTCCAAACCTCTTATTTTATAGATGAGAAAACTGAAGGGTAGAAGTGAGGAGGAGGTGCTTTCCAAACATGATGGAAAGGCACTGGAGGTAGGAGATGGAATGCTAAGTTCCAAGAATAGAAAACAGACCACTTTGGTTGAAGTACAAAGTACTCGTGAAGGGGAGTCATGTAAGCTAAGTCTGGGAAGGTCTATTAGAGCCAAACCATAATGGATGACATTCACTTCCATTTTTACCAAATGCAACATCTGACTTTTATCACCATACAGGCCCCACCCAACACTGATTTAAGTGAAAGCCATCACTACCAGACAAAACAGTTAAGTGACTTATCCAAGATCATATACATAGTAAGCGGCAGAGCTGGCTGACATCCCACCCCAGGTCTTCTGGCTCCAAACCTAACCTTACTTCCAACACAACATGTGAGAGGAGCCTTTTCTAAATAACCATGCTGTTCTCCTACACTCTATACTGGGACCAGGAATTTCAGCATAGACATAG